CTTTTCAACTGAGAGATCAAAGTGAGAATTCAATAAAAAAATTATACAATTTTACAGACAAATCAAAAAGACACACGTAACTCATAATAATATCAGATGCAATATGAGACAAATACTTCAGAAGGTTTTAAAACTACTATCCATTCTCATACTACAAACATAGTGGGATAAATTTACAGGTAAATGGCAAACCTACTTGTTTAAGTAATGAAACATTAAAAAACAAACAGTAAATAGAGAATACTACAATACTGCAAGATGATTTGAGACTGATGTTTGTGTTATAAATGAAATGAACTTGATAGACAGGCAGTAAATTAGATTAAGAAATGTAGCCATAATTCATGTTGTTAAAAACTACGAAAATACTGTGAATTTCCTAGAAACTTTTTTGTACAAATATTACAAAGATAAATACTAACTTTAAAAAAGCTATGACAAGGCTTTTTTAATAACACAAAACAAAACTGTCAACAAAACTCAAAATAACCATAAAAATATCATTGTCATACTTTTTACAAACAGATTAAATTAGATACATATCTAAAACATTAAAATAACGGAGATATTTTAGTCATTGAAGTCTCGCTCACGTGCTTCCTCCTCAGCATCGGGTAATATCTTCACCATGTGCTTGGCTATCTCCACCATATTTTCTCGTATGAGAGCAGCATATAAGTTACCAAATGTACATTTACGAGGCTTGCATCCCTTCCATTCCAGCAACATTTGATATGCGCATTCTCTAAATCCTACAGGTTGATACTGATGCTCCAAATCTATAAGAGCCTGGTCAAACATATTTAGTGTTAGACAAGACATAAAAAAAATATTCAGAATAGAAACTATTGGTAGGTATCAAAGTACTCACTCGCTCTTCTATGCCCAATGATCTGCCAAGGAAACGCCAATCTTTCCGTGCAATACCCTTTGATATTCTCCACATGTCTTTATCAGTTAGACGCCGTTTATTTCCTCTAAATAGAAAAAAAAACAAAAAACAACTCTGTTAAGGACTGCATTTTTGCCACATAAGAAATTTAACATAAAAGAAATTTTAATAGAGAAGAACATACATGTGTTTGTTGTTTGATTTTTCTGCCTCTTGGTCACTGTCTTCATCATTCTCTCTCTCACTTCCTGAAGAGACAGTTTCAGAGACATCAGAAAACTTTCGCCTTTTAGCAGAGCTGCTCGCACCGCTATTTTTTTTCTCTAGACTAGGGTGAGACCTCTTCCGTGATCCTTCTCTTGCATCATTAGGCATAGAATCTGAAATTGATATGAAGTTATAACAGATGTTTAATAAATGTATTGAAGGTACATAATAAAAAATAAAAAATGAATTAACAAGAAGAATGTCAATGTATCACACAAGTTTTGATACATAATTAAGAACCCACATTCTTCACTTGTGATAGGTAGTATGGTATAAAATAGTAAAAATTTTATACACATGTGGTTCTTAGTGCAAATGCACTAAACCTACCTAGTTCTAGTATGTTCACACCATATAGTTTGAAAACATACTCTAATTAAGTTTTATTGTCGAATATATTGGTTCTCAACAAACATGCAATGATCATCTAGTGATATAACAATTTGGTGTTCTAGTTGCATAATTCTATTTAGGTCTTCATCCACCTCCTCATTGTAAGGTGGTGATAGGTACACAATGAGTAAATAGTAGATAGTAGATGGATAAAAATAATTACCTGAATCAGAATCATTATTGACTTGACCCCATGGACGGTAACCCCAGAGGCCACCAAATCTGTTTCCACTACCTCTTGAATGTCTTGAACCTGAATCCCTGCTTCCTGATCCCTTTGATCCATTGCTGGAATGACTAGAACTGGCAACATCACTAAATGATGCAGACATGCCTCCACTGAGGTTGAGATCCCTTGATACAGCATATAAAGCTTGCATGAACTCTTCAGGTGTTCCTCCTCGTGATCCATATAAATTCATTATAGCAAGGAATGGATCAGAAGAAAACTGCAAAACCATAAAATAGAATTAAACAAGTAGATACAAAAACTATTACAGAAGTTTCTGGAACTAAAGGTAAAAAGACCACACACAAAATAAACAAAAAAAAAACAAACACGCAAAACATTCTACCTGAAATTTGCTTTTGATTTCACTTTTAGTGAAACCAATGTGTTGGGCAAATCTCTTCCAGTTGTTACCCTCAGTAATCTGAAGTGTAGAGGCTAATTCTTTCATGGCGAAGGCAGTCCACCGCTCACTCCCCATTGGTTGTAAAACTTCATGAGCAGCATCAGACTGGAAAAGAAAACAGTAAAATAAAAATAAGATGCAAATTATATGACAGTTGTAAACCGGCATTGACTACAGTACTTGAAATGTACCTTGTTTAAATTAAATTCAAAGAGGGGATCATTTTTACCAGGTGCTATCCTTTCAACAATCACCTTACCAAACGTTCCACTTTCCACATTAACATTTTGTTTAAATCTACAAAATAATGAACAGAAGTTGGAATATGAGAATATGTCAACACAAGATAACAAATCTGAACACAAAGTTTAAGTTTGAAAAAGTCACCTGCAGGCATATTGTTTTTCAAAGTCTCTCCCTCTGAAGTCAGGCTCCTCTTTAGACATAGCAGCATCTTCACCTGCATCTACATCAGCTTCAAACATTTGGGATTTCAGTCTAACTAATATACGTCCAGGCCGTACAAGTTTTGGTTTAGTGCTGGCTCCAACCCGATGCCTGCAAAGTACATGGGTATGTTGATACCGGTAACAGGTAATATTGCCACACAATGGGTTCGCATTGTATTATAATTGCAATTTTGTGGTGGTTTACCTGTAATTAGTTTGCTCAGGTAGTCTCTTGTCCGATCTGTAACAAATGACTTCCAAACCAAACCGAGGTTCACCTTTTGCCTCTTTACTTTCCTCCATAAATGCCTGACACATCATTGAAAATGATATGTAAGGATAAAAGTATGACATTCCCATTTTGGCCTCAGTGAGAGATGTAGACAAGAGATCCCACACAACTTTGAAAAATGAAAAGTGATGTACAGCAAAGGAGACCACAACAACATTAACACCTGGGACAGGTGGTTCAATCTGCAAACTTGCTGGCTCAAGACGCTGCCAGGCAGTAGGTTCGCCTTCTTCAGTAGAGCTCTGCCACACTGAAAGCCCAATATTTTGATCAAATTTTTTCTTGAACTTTTCCCGAATTTCATGGTAATGTGGAATTGGCAATTTTATCCGAACCTGTGATACAAGACCAAAAATCAGCACGTTTCAAAAATTAAGTCATGCAACTAGATAATTAATGAAGATTCCTTACTGGTCGCCTCCTTGTGTCAAAAGCATGACCATGAGGGCCAAGCATGATAACAGGAGAGGCCAAGGCACCATAAACTTCTTCATCTCCCTCTCCTGAATTTAACATTGGTTCATGGTTGTACAGTACTCGCAGATATGCATCCAGATCTTCATCAAGAGAACCAAAGGGAAATTCAACCTGCTCATAATAAGATAAATTTCATATTCAGACAACAAATTATGAACTCACAAAACACACACACACACAAAATAAATTTAGGACCTTACCGCAACTCCAGGGACCTCGTGTATCTGAAGTAAGCCCCCTGTGCGCCGTCGAATTCTTTTCAATACCTCTGGATATGGTTCCTCCACAATTACGGTAAAAAGACTGAAGTGATTTGTTGTTACAACCACATGCCCATTCCTTAACATAACAAAATAAGTAAAGGTCAGTTTGTTTCAAGGATTAGATTATTTAAAACAATTAATTGGGATAGATAACTGTTGCACAAACCTATAACAGTAATCCTTTCTAGGCAAACGCTCCCATTGTGGATGAGATCCTACTTCAGTGTTGCTATACAAACACGATATCCATTCTTCATCAGATGGCTCAATGCTCAAAGGAATCACCAAAATCACAGGAAAATCCTCATGAAACTGTACTCCATGGGGTTCCATTGAAACGACCGGGCTTATATGGTGAACTCTAAGACTAGAGCAAGATGGTGGTCTGCAAAAAAATACACATTACCTTGTTACTTAGAGAAGTGGCTGCAAAATTGAGTTCAACATGATCTGAAAAGGAAATCAGAGCCCAAAACAGTAATAAGTTGAGGAGATCATGCAGCAAGTGGCTGGAAATAACAAGGGACATTGCTAGAAAAAGAACATGACATAAGATCAAGGAGGAACCCCTAATGGAAAGAGCAAGTTCACTGCAAACATGTACAATCATACTTTGGTTCATGGCAATCACAATCCTAAACACACAGAAAGAGCCACTCTGTAGCAATTGACCTAACTCTTAACTCTAATGAGACTTACCTGAATCAAATAAGGCTGGATCACGCTGTAAGCTGCATGTGCTTTGCTATTCGTTTTTAGCTTCTGATTATCACACTTCTAAAATTATGCGGTAATCTTCTCACAACTGGCTCTTCTTTCACTTCAAAAATGTGATACATAGTAGTACTGTTCATACTAAGCATTAAAATTGGACAATTGTCTCTTTCAAAATCAAGTTCACAGTGTTTCCATTGCTGATGTATAATATTCTTCTTAGTAGGTTTTTCATAAACTTCATGAGCAGCCTTGGGTTTCTGGAGAAGAGAGCAGAGCAGATACATGATAAGATTGCTTGGAAATATCTTGATGGTTACTCTTGGTTCAAGTTCTTGTAGCAGCAATATTGCTGAGAAAACGTATGAGAAAAACCAATTCTGTACTATAATTTGCTAATATTTTCACCTACAGAACACAAACACAAAGAACAAACTAATTTACATATCTTCAAAACTTGCTTCTACATTTGATGATCAGATTCAAAGTTCATTCATAGATCTCTAAGGACTGTAAACAATGCACAGAGTTTTGTTTTATCACATGCACTAGATAGTGTCTCCACAAGCGCGCACAAAGCGGGGCAGAAATTGTTCCTAAGATGAAAAGTCATTTCCCAGAGAACCCAACTTGATACTACTTTTCAGATAGATGGAAACAGTTCCAGTCCCTCAATGTAAATAGATAAGAGTAAGAAGCAAATAAAATGAGAGAAAAAATTCTTTTAGGAAATAATCTTTAAGTTGAATTAATCTTTAAGCTGAATGAATCTTTAAGCTGAATGAATCTTTAAGCTGAATGAATCTTTAAGCTGAATGAATCTTTAAGTTGAACGAATCTTTAAATTGAATTAACCTTTAAGTTGAATTGATCTTTAAGTTTCATTAAAAAATATATGACTTTCAGAAAAATTGATCTCCCTCTTGAAATTCTTCTGTCGATGAGATTCGAGATGTAGATGATGTCTTCATTGATGATTTCAATTTCTTGCTCTTGAGTTAAATAGTTGTTAATTAAAAAAAGATTTTAAAAAATTAATTCAAAAAACTACTTGTTCGTACGAATTTGAAATTCAAAAACTAAGGATATTAAATGCACTTTAAACTGAGCTTTTTAGAAAACTAAGTTGATTAAAAACTTTAAAACTTACTAAGTTGATTGAAATTAGATAGATATTTAGGTTACAACTAAGCAGAATTTCTATCCACTGAATGATGCTGTAGAGCCGATCTTCCTTTTCTTGATTTTGGTTGGTGATGTCTTGATGTTCATGTTAAGTTGGCAAAAAAGCAGTTATAATAGTAAATCTTATAGAGTGGCACAGAGCACTAGCAGTACTTTTAGATTAATATTAATATTAATTTTTACAACAGGAAACATTGTAAAGTTGCTAAGTGAAAAGAGAAGTTTGATTTATTTGATTGATGATTGCCATGATTAGAAAATTTAATAAATGTATGAGGATAATTGCATTGATAAAGTACAAAAATTAACTTTACTAATGCTGCAGTCCAAAAGTTTTCTGCAATTGTTGCTTTATAACTGAAAAAAATTGTCATGATTGCAGTAAACTTGCCAATGCATCCTTAAATAAGCGTGAACTTATGTCCACTCAGTAACAAAAGACAGAATGCATTACTGATGAGTCCTTCTGCATTACCTGTAAGCTGAAATATAAGCATAGATTCATACCCACTCAAAAACAAGCTCTAAATTCAGCATGCATTCTATTCCAAGCCCAAAATAGAGGAACGCAAATTTCTCCAAGAAACAGGAAGAGAAAAACTTAGTGGACAGCAAATAATCTAAGAATAATAACTACATGATTCCTTTACCTGTACATATTATTCTCGCTGCCATTGCTCCGTATGGTCACCTTGAAATCACCATTAAATAGTGATTTGTTTTGATCAGGTATGAAGGCAGTAACACCATCCACTCCATAAGCAGTGACTTGAGGTTTAGGTAAAACACAGTCACCATTGTTCCATGGCTTGTCAATATTCCATTCCAACTCACTGATCTGTGGTGGTGTGTCATCTTCACTAGAGCTTCCAAGACTTTCTATACCACTAATAGAAGCACAGTGGCAGCTGTTTCCAGAGTCACTAACAGGAGACATACCACCTGAAGCCACAGAGCACTTGCGGGAATGTTCTGAGGCAGTGCCATAGTCACTTGTATTGCTAATTTGATCAAAAGACAGTCTTTGGTAGAAGCTCTGCGACATCTTATTGACATCATGGCCTACCATGTTACCTAGTGTTCGGTTTCTTAACCGAGTTATCACTCCACTAGCTGATGGTCGGGATGAACTGGGAACAGGTTGAGGGGGAGGCAGCATGCTGCTATGGGAAGTTGACGTAACTCCATCCTGAAGGTTTGGTGCATTAGACTCATAGATTTTCAGCCATCTTTTAGATGCACTTCTGGTTAATCTCCTATCAAGCATGCTGGATACTCCTCGACCATTTCTGACTGGTAAATTTAAGTCAGGCTTTGCAGACAAATCTGCATTGTGTGATGAGGTTGATGGCATCGATTCACATTCAGTCGTGGACTGCTTAGGAGAACTGACGTTTAGCCGGCGTCTAGACCGGCCACGCATTTCCAGTATACGGCACTTGTCTTCCATACTTCATAATTCAACTGCACGGAATGCACAGGAGCCTGCATCAGGCACTTTTGGATGTAAACACTCCATTACCTGAAGGGACGAGGCCCAACGAGGTAAATGAAAATATAATCAGGCACATAGCACTGCTCGATTGTTGTTTGTTGCTATTGACCAGAGTCTTTTTGAACGATGAAGTTTCGGGTAGAGAAGACTGGTTGCGAAGACGGCGATCTTCTGAAGTTGTGATGGCAGTGGCAGTGCAGAGGACGAGAAGTTCGGTGGACACGTGAGAGGAAGTTGTATGTGATGACTTGCGTGAGAAGACGATTCGCCAAAGAACAATTTTCTTCCAAATACAGGAAGAAAAGCACAATCTACCTGTTGCTTCAGGTAAATATTGACAGTGGGGTGCACAGACGCCGAAAAGAGACGCTACAATATGGCGTACGCATTCGCGCATTCGGCCTCTCATCAACACATGACACAAAAGTTACGAATGTATTTGATTTTTTTTTGTAATTATTACCGATCATCATGTTTTTAAGTTGACAAGTTCACTTAAAAAATGAAGTATTAGGTTTTTTATCTCAAGTTAAAATGAGATTTGATTGAAAATAAAATATGGTACTGCTTGATGTCAGTGTACAACAGTTGGTACTTTGATTTCGCGCATTCCAAACGGCGTTAGTCAAAACTGACTGGAACTTTTCCGGAGTAATCCGTCAATCTGAAGTCAGAAACAGGAAAGAAAGAATCGTTCAGAATCAAATAGTAATACTGTTGCAGTATTATCTCTGGAATGGAACATCGTGTGACAGCGATCAGCGAAGTACGTAACAAAAGACTTGTAAACGATGAGATGACTCACCGGCGGTCTCCACCATTGGTCCTGCGTCGTTCTGTTCAACCAATCGGCTGATGGTACGGATTCGCGGTATGTTCAAACGTTCTACAACAAATTACACTCATGTTTCATAGGGCTTGTTCATTTTATTTAGTTTCACTTACAACCAGTCGACAAAACTTGTACTACAATTGATATGATTTGTGCCAAGAGTATCATTCATACTGTAATCACAACTCAAAACAGGTATAACACAATACTAACAAGGTGTAAAATTCCAATTTGCCTCAAACTCTGTATATTTTCTTCTTATGCTGGTTAGATTTAAAAAAAATAATGTCAGAGGCCTTTTATCCAAACGATGTGGCAATGCCGCTTGCTAATAGTTTCCAGCGACAAACTCTTAATTGTGATCAAAATTCAAAATTCTGGCCACAGTGTTTGATTTTTATGACTACTCCGCATCAAACACCGTGGCCAAAATTTCAAATATTGACCACAGTGAAGAGGTTGTTGCTCGACAAAAATAGCGATATTTGGGAGACTGTACAAATATCTGCTTGGTATAAAACGTCTATTTTTCGATTTGAGATGCCTTCCATCAGTTTCCATCCAACTTCTCCAATGGGTATGCTGTCCTGTGCGAGTAATGAAACTCAGCATAAAATTTGACTGGCAATTGTCATCTACATGGATTAGAAGCAAATACACAGAGTCTGAGCAAAATTGAGAATTCACACCCACCTAAGTCTCCATGTAGGTAAGTTGAAAAAGAGCTTATTATTAAGTTTAAGTATTACCACCAAGTACACTAGACGATAAGTGGAGGGATTTTTAAATATTTTTTTTAGTAGAAATATTTTAAGGAGTTTGACACAGGAAGAACTGCTGTCACTTCCATGTTTAACACTTCTTTCTGAACCATGAATGGTCACAGATTTCAGAATGTTTTCCGGATTATCTTAACAGAGGTTCTAGATTATCACAGTAAGTCTGATCAAAGCTTATATAAAGAGAATTCATATTTAACTGACTAAAAGCAATATGTCCTTCTATGAGATAAAAATTGGGATATCTCATTAAGCGTGTATCATCACAATAGTAACTAAAGACCTCTCCCTGTAGCAGGTCTTTCAGGAGGAGTAGGTATCTCAATTTCATCCTCAGCCTGCTCATCACTATTCCTGCGCTGTTGTTTATTCCTAACAAAGTATTGCAGTGGGCGTAATAAGCTGAAGGCCACAGGCAAGAATAAAAGGCCATAGAATAATCCAAAAAATATCACCAATAAGAATATCTGTTAAGAAACAGAAAAATCAAAATTAGATTACTCCCACAGTTTTTTTTTTTTTTTTAATTAGTTAAAAATTATTACTTACCTTGAAAAATGCTGTGAAAATAAAAGAGTGAGAGAAGACAAGCACCGACAATGCTAATAAAGTAGTCATCCCTCCATGTAAAACTGCACCTCCCATGTATGTCACAGCATGGATTGCTCTTTCATCACCAGAACCTCCTACCCTCATGAATGCATAAGCAATATGAGCTGTAAAATCCACTGTTAAACCAACTGCAAGAACTAGTGCTATGGTTGATACTAGCTCTATACTCATCCCCCATAAAAACATAAAGCCAATAGTATTAGTCTGAAAGAAAGCAATGTAAAAATAATGATATAACACAAAAATCTTCATAAAAGGAATTTAAAAAATGATTCAGATTAGTGAGCTTGACTTACTAGTGCCATGACCACACAAGAGAGAACACCTAAAACGGCAATCGTGGAGCCAAGAAAAAAAAAGGTTGTTGCTCCCACAGCTCCAATAGCCAACAAGAGATTTCGTAAAAGCTCTTGTAAAATAATCTAAAACAATGAGAAAAATTGGATAAAAATATCTGCCAGTTTATACAAGATTTGCCAATAGGCAACATTTTAAAAAATCTTACCTCATCTGTCACGAAATTAGCAAATGCTTTGGCCCAAACAAAAGCCACTTGATCCCCACTGGTCAAGTTTGCGGCAGAAACCAGTTCCTTTACTGTATTCATTGCCCATACATTACTTGCTGAATGATCAAATCTTCTAAATTGAAATTCAATGAAAGCAACCTAGAATATGTACTTAAATGTAAGAAGAAATCTACATTATACTTGTAGTACCACCAAAGAAGAAACATTCTTATTTTGCCTTACTGTAATGTTGGGTGCTGGCTTGCCACATTCAAGAATCTCTGAAAACCTAAAATTCTTCTGAAAACGGGCTCCTGTTGGGCTAAACAGGAAATCAGAAATATACTGCCTAAATTCTTCATCTGCCATGAATTCAACTTCGATGTCTGAAAGTGAAACAGTACACGTCACTACCTACATTCAGATAGAAAATTAAGAACATTGCTAAGTTATTAAACCTTTGTTGAAGTGAGCTTGGACATAGCGTTGAAATCCACTCCACCATTCCTCAACATTCATCACAATTTCTTTCTGTTGCTTCAGATTCTCAACTAGATGTCCAATATTTTGCAACTCTTCATTGTACTGAAGTTGCCCAAAATAAACACCTGCTGCACTTCCAATGTGAGGGAAGTATTCATCTCTTCTCCCAAGAAACTGGAAAAGGAAGAAACTAAAAATATGCATAGTATCATAAAAATTTACTTGTATCAAATAGGTAATAATGGAAATGATAACAACAATAACAGTGCTGATGATCATCCATTTTAGCCAGAAAATAGTGTCCAGATAAACTTCATACCTTGGAAAGATAGCTACCTTCATCTAAAAACCACTCTGCTTTGAAATCTGGCTCTATATTTGCATTACCATAAAAGGACAAAATTGAAAAAAAGAGAGTAATTGTTGCTACTGTTATCTGGAAAAATATAACTTCAACGTGTTATAAACAGAAGTGGAGATTCATACCATATACCATATTTCAGTTTTATACTAACCTTCCCAATTTTAGTCATGATAAATTTAGAATAAATAAATTTGAGACTATTTGAGCAGTGAGGAGTATATTCCATATCTAAAAGTTTAGGTGGTGCCTGTTTGATACAAGGTATCAAAAAATTCCTTCCTGCCTCAACCCTTTGTTGATCTAAGGCCAGAGCTATAACAAATAGACTGATTTGCAGGGCAAATGTCATGCAAATTCCAACGGCTGCATAACAGCAAAATGATGAAAGTGAGGGTAGTCCCTAGACAGTCAAAGGAAATGCATTTGTTAACACCAACCTTTCTTAGATTGCGAAATTATTTGATAAAATTAAAATGCTCACCGTAATTGATCCTATCAGAAATGCTACTGCATCAGTAGCACTAGTAACACTTATTGAGAGCCCGGCATGGCGCATAGTAAGACCCATTCGTACTGGTATTGAAGAAATTTTATCTTCAATTGAAAGAGCATTCCAACAACTTGAGATAACAAACATGTCATCAACTCCTATTCCCAAAAGCAGGAAAGGGAGTGATGTATGAACAGGTCCATACGGAATTCGAAATGCTGAACAGAGAGCAACTGACATCAAGAACGCAATACCAATACAGAGAAGACCAACCATAGCCGGAATCATCTGAAATTTAAATTCTGATATATACACAAAATGCACAAACAAAATAAAGGATGATTTCAAATACACCTTAACATTGACTAACCCGAGACGATACACAGCTAGCTCGAGTTTGCTGGGCTTGAATGTAGATAAGCATCAGGACCACACCAATTATTAATTTGTCCATATCTTGGAACATCCCAGCAGCACTAATGTCTCCAAAACTACAGAGATAAGAAATGTTTTAAAAAGTCATTACTTTTAAGAGAAGGAAAAAACTCAATAAAAAAATAAGGAACACAAAATAAGTAACCTGCGCCCAGCCTCATAGTATAATTCAAATCCAGAAACTGAGTTAACAGATTCACTCAATATTTTAATGAAGTGAGATTCCCACTCCAAACCTGGTCCATTTGCCTGCAATAAAATTTTGCAGAGAAAAGATTATTTTAAGACTTTTCTCTCTTAAATAATCCTAAGTTACTGTAAAATTATAATGGTAAGGGTTGAATTACAAACCCAATCAGCTGTGCCACCATCGTTTCCAGCTGTGTCCATATCCACAGTGGAAAAATTTACATGTACCATGTACATTGCCATCAATGCTTGAGCCGACACAATCGTTCCATTTTCATCATATTCAATTCCACCAAGCAAGGAAGTAAAGGGTATTGGGTGTCCTAGGGTTGGGCTGCAAAATACAATAGAATAGATTCAATTTCTTTACCAACCAACCATATGATTTCATCTAAATCTATAGTAAAAAAATTGATAAGAAATCATGCTTACCTGAAGGTTGTTGTATTAAGATCTGCTATTAGTTTAGTTTTAGTCAGACTGTTGATTTCATTCTTGTCAAACTTCCAAATATCCACAATATTTTGTGATAGGCAGCCAGTGGGAAAGTTATCAACTATATTGCAGTACAGCTCCTTGCCAAGAATGAGGGATGGGTCAAAAGTCTCGTCAGTCATTATTTGTTGTAATGTTTGTTGCTTGGATATAACTCTGTTAACCTATATAACAATAGTAATACTGTGGTTAGACGCTTTGACATCTTTCCTATTTATAATAATTTGAAATATGGTAAAAACTTAGCCACATACTTTTGAGATTTCACCTATGGAAAAGCTTTGGTTAAATGGTTCTGTTCGTTTATATTTAGGGACTTCTCTCCCATCTTCCATATCCCGTTTTATTCTTGGTTCTTGAACATTGAAGCTTATTATTGGTACCCTGTAAAAAGTGATTGGCACTACTTTTATTTAATTTTCTCAAGAATTAAGTTAGTTTGTCATCACAGTAATGCATTTTCATTTTCCTACTTACTTAAAGCAAACATCCTGCCAGGATGGAAATATTGTAGAATTGACAAGTTTTAAGTGTATGTCTAACAGCTGTAAACAATTTTACCATCAATGAAATGTACTATGTCTGTAATATGGAGCACGGTGAATAGACAACTGGTTACCAGCAGGTCTGGCAACCCAGTTTAAAATTAAACAATTGCCCCCCAAAATAAAAATGAAATGTAGTGTTAACAAATATGGCATAGTTGGTAAGTGCACATACCTGGTTCATAATAGTGGGTTGTAAAACATCTGGAGCAGTTATTAAAATGGTCTGTACCCGTAAGCCGTCACCAAATTCCTGCATGAGCCATTTTGTGTCAATAAAAAAGTCTGAATGACGTGGTATCCACAGATTTAATGGATTCTTTTCTTGTTTGAAAAAGAATAATCCATTCATAGAAGCCAGTATTATTATTGCCCACATAAAGATCATCTTCTTAGGATGTATTGCCAGAAATTGTCCATATCTAGAAAACGGTGGAAACAGTTGGAACTGAAGACTAAACAAGCAATAGTTGCAGATTGGTTTAATTCTTAAGCATACCTTTCGAATAAATCCTCAATGTGACCAATAAAACCAGACATGAAATTTGCCTCCATCGCATTGTGTTGAGCGTGGATTTGGGGATCCAAACCATTGTCGTTTAAAACTGTTAAGAAGTAAAAACAAACATATGATTGAAAACAGTGCAACCGTGCTAATGTCACCTATTTCGAACACAAATTTAGAAGATAGTACCATCGTCATGCACAATTTCGGGTCCCATGGGCTCCATCTCTACTTCATCCAGAATCTGTTGATTAACCATCTCAACCTCCATCAGAAATGCATTTACTGCTTCTTCATCTGCATCGGGCTCATCCGGAATCTCAGCATCATTATTGTTGGCTTCATAGTTACCCGCTGCATTTTCTTCAGGATCCATTTGATCTAAGTATGTAGCTCCCAGATCCTTCTGAACAAATTGCAACCTAGAAAGTGTTGAGAGGTTTGTAAGCAGATGATTACTTGAAAACTAAAATGCCATCATCCCACCAGTCTGACAGACACATGCGTAAAAAACTTAAACTTTTAAAAAGAGGCAAATAGGAAAATTCCCGAAATCACGACAATACCGGTTACTCCAGCTGACCTGCAAAAGGGGCCTGAAAAGGACAGGACAGGACGCGCGTTCAGCCGCAGAATCTTTGCTTTCAGGCAAACGAGTATCGAGGCACGTACCAGTGCTTGTCGTCACGCCCCGTCACAATTCATGGGTCAGACATGATCGATCCTTGCTCCCTGTCAAAGCACAGCTGATGCTGATGACTGATAATGGAGTCCATTGGGGTCCTGGCCGGTGCCGCAGGCTCCTGAGCTGAGTATCCTGCTGGATCCCTTCTGCTTGTTGTTGTTGTGACGGGGTTGTTGCGTTGTCACTGTGGCGCGCTCTACCGGCCGCCGACGAAACTGCTGTGCATGGGGGGGGGGGGAGACTCTAGGGAGGGAGAAGATGGGGAAGACGAGGGGCGGAACACGAAGGTGAGTGGTAGGCGTCTTTTGACGGGGCCGCAATGAGGTCAAACGAGTACCATGAGTACTGTTTGTGTACTGCGATTAGACTCCTACCATAGAACACTCCCACTGCACTTTCGCCCCAGATGCTAAGACGAAAAGCGAATGCTGCGAACCAGCAGCCGACTGTTCTTAGCTTACCACGACCACCGCGATTTAGGCCGTTATCAAACATTCCTGAGGGGCGAGCAGCGACAGCGACCGGCGGTGGAGATACGGATGTTTAGATAGATGCGAACAAAATTTTCGCCGAGAGCTAGGTCCCCAATTAACGTATACCAGGTGGCTGATTAACCCCGCGCACTTCTGCAGGTATACTGTACCGCATGCACGAGTGCGGGCGGGCTTGCCTATCGCCCCTGTCCACGGCGCCTTACGAGCCGAGCGAGTAGGCAACCCGCCC